ATAGCAAAAACCTCTCAAAAAAAAAAAAAACAAAAAAAAAGTGCCTGTCCTTCCCTACAGGGCTGACAGCACCATGCAGGCAGGGCATCCTCAATCCCACTGCATTCCCAAGGCAGGGCAGCACAGGAAGCAGGAGGCCCCACGGCTCTGCTGCCCCTGCTCACTCACAGAGCCTGTTTGTGCAGGAAACCTCACACCTCCAAGTTCGGCTGCTGTTAAGTTTGTAAAACGGGGCTAGCCCCATCCTAGCAGGGTGACTGCTAGGCTCAGAGATCAGGGAGGAGGGCAGACATCAGAGCTCGCAAGCACGAGGTGGCCTCCCTTCTTACTGGGGGGTGGGGACACTGGTGGACGAGTAGACAGGTTCGAGGGAGAGAGGGTGAATGGATGGGTGGACAGATAGTGGATGGGTGGACCGATGGACGAGGAGATGAGTGAGTGGGAGGAAGGTGTGTGGACGGTGGACAGAGTCAGGTGGGTGAATGGCGGACAGACGGACAGGTGGAGGGCGAGTGGGTGGACGAACCCACGGGTGGGCGATGAGCTCCAGTCCTAAGCCAGTCAGCGTAAGTGAGAGGGCCGGGACTGCACAGAGCCCCACCACCCCTACAAACCAAGCATATGCCAGCCTTCACGGCCGGAGACCTCCTGCACCCCGCACAAGGACCCTTGTGTGCATGGACAGCCAGAGCCCTTCAACGTGCTACAATCCAAGTTCTTCTGAGACTCGGAGACGTCAGGGCTGCTTAGTGCCCCTGGCCCGACCTGCAGCTCAGGAGCTCCCTGGGGTCAGGGCCACACCTGCACAGGCACAAGACCCCCCGCCCAGCACAGGCCTGCCCAGGGGGACCCCTGTCCTCTGTGAGTGAGTGAAGGGGGCGGACTTGGGGTGGAGGGTGGGGCCGACTCACTGGGCACGCGGTTGATGGCCTTGAGGGGCCTCAGGACACGCACGGTGCGGATGGCTGACAGGTTGATGTTCTGAAGGTCCAGGGAGTACTCGACCATCCTGCAGAGAGAGGGGAGAGTGAGGAGGGGCAAGGACAGTCGGCAGGGCTCAGACAGTGTGCGGCCTGGGCTGCTCTCCTGGCCTCCATGTCCTCCTGGGGACAGCCAGGCAGGCAGAGTGCAGGAGCAGAGACGCCAGCCCACGGCGAGCCCCTCATGGTGCAGTGGCACGTGCCCCTGGCCACGGAGCCTGGACTCTGCAGCAGCCTCTGGCCGCGGGAGCATCTCCCAGCATGGATGCTCCCACCTGGCTGGCTGCACTGAGGTGCTGTGGCTCCCAGGGCTGACCAGAGGGGACTGGGCATCTGGTTTGCATTGTCATGAAACCCTGGCTGCAGGCAGAGGTCTCGGTGGGCCCCCTCCTTCCATCACCCGAGTCCTCAGGGGCCCACTGGGAGAGGGGCAGAAGCCCTGATTTACAGCTGAGAAGATGAGGCAGAGAGGTGATGTCCCACCCCCAGTAACCCAGTGACCAGGGGAGACTCAGGCTGGGCAATGCCCCACCCCCAGTAACCCAATGACCAGGGGAGACTCGGGCTGGGGGTCACTCTAGGCCGACCCTCTCCCTGCTCCCCTGACCTCCAAGCCCCACCTCTCGCTCATGCCAGGCCAGGCATCTCAGCTGGTCTTTGCGGGTTTTATCCCCCACCCCGACTCCTGTGCCTGCAAGATAATCCCCACCTCTGGGCACACCGGTTCTCCCTCGGGGCCGCACTCCTGCGTGCGGCCCCTGCCCCTGCTGTCCCTTCTGTGTGGAAGGCCACCCCCTGCTCTGTTCCCTGCAGCCTTATGCTCCTGCTTCTGTGCAGGTGCCCTGGGGCCCTGGAAGTCCTTCCACACCAGAGCCCAAGGTGAGCCAGGCCGACCTGGTGCTACGGGCCCTGAGTAACCCAGACCCCGGCCCAGTCCCGGGAGCACTCGATTGACTGGAGGAGAGATTCAAAGACAAGTGGCAGCCCTGGAGCCCCACCTAGTTCTCATCCTGGAGCCCGACCAAACAGGTCCACGCTCCGCACCCCCACCCAAACTCAGCCAGCCCTTGGGAGGTGGTTTGCCTCTTCCGGGAAGTCTTCCCAGATTCCCTGTAGGAGGTAGATTTCTGTACTTAGACCAGATGCTACCTGCTCAGTGGCTACCGGCACCAACCCCCACCCCAGTTTCTGTGATAGATGCGGTGGTGGGGGGAGGGTCGGGGGGGAGCTGTGCAGGGTCCATAGCCCCAGTCTGGCCCCAAGTGCCCGTCGCCAGAACACCCCCACCCCCAGCCCTGGCCTCAGCAGAGCTGTTGGCTCCACCTGTCACTGACATCCGCCAGCAGGAGAGGCAGGGCTACAGGGGGCCGGGGGAGCCGCGATCAGCCCGCCCCACGGTGGTGCGGCCGCCCCCTCCCGCTGCTGGCAGAGTAATTGAGTGAAAGCCCTTGCCTGGAATGCCTCCGCCCAGCCCCCAGCTCCCCAGCCGGCTCCGCTCCCACACGCGCACACACACCTACCTGCACACAACCACCGGTGCACGCGCACATGCAGGCGCACACTCACTCCCCCACGAGTCCAAATCAGGGAGGGGCAACCCAAAAAAGTGAGAGAGACCTACAATTAGGACAGAGACTTGGGGGTCCCGAGGAGAGTGCAGGGGTGCCGGGGCGCAGCCAGGCAGAGCGTGGGAGGGACAGCGAGGGGGAGGGGCCGAGTGAGGATCCCGCGTGGGTGAGCCAAAATGTCATTCTCGTCTTTTGTAGAAAGAGCTCTCCAGGCAGCCGGAGATGCGTGTGACGGGCACCGTGGGGGCGGCACGCACAGCGCACCGACAGTGCTCACGCTGGCGCCAGCATCTAGGCCCAGAGTACCCTGGCACACGGCTGGCCCCTCCCCCTCTGCCTGGCTCTCCGGACCCTGCCCAGGGTGTGTCGCCAGTCTCTGGGCCCCGCTAGAGGCTCAGTTTCTGCTTTGCTGGGTGAGCGGGAGGTGGGGTCCCCACCCAGGGGAACTCCCCAGGCACCATGTCCCAGGGCCCACCCAGGACCTATTCCCATGGAATTTCACAATAAGAAAAGCAGATCTTTACGCAGAAAAGTAAACGCTCTTCACCAGGGTCCATTGTGCCCGCCGTGTGCCCGCCGTGTGCCCGCCACCGCTCTGGCTATGTGCCCGACCTTGCCCCTTGGGGCCCCTCCACGTTCCAGTGGGCGCCCATTATCTGATCCACCAAAACCCTCCCACCCTACCCCGGACCAAGGCAGAGTCCCGGCTACAAGCTGCATCCTGGGCCCCTCACTGTGGGAGCCGGCCGGTCCCCACTCCTGTCCACACTGCCCACGGGTTCCATCTCCCAGGGTGGAGCCCACGAGGAGCCCCTGCCCCGAGGTGGGTGGGGAGGAGACCGCCCCGTGCAGGTCAACCCGGCGGAGGAAGTGTTGGCTGGCATCCGTGTTTCTCTGAATCAAAGGGCAGGGGGAAAGGGCTGCCCCTGGTCCTGGGTGAGATACGCATCGTGACCGCGTACCATCAGCCAGTGGGCAAACTTGGGGGTCTGGGCACCTCCCAGACCCCAGCTTCCCAGAGCACACTGATCACACCTGTCCTCCCAGCCACAGTCTTGGCAAGCCCCTGCCACCTGCCCCTGGTCTCCGAGGGCAAGTGAGGCTGCCATGGCCAGGCAGTGCACTTTAAGCTCCCAAGGACTCAGCATCTCAGCTGGTTCCACGGACAGACCTGGAACGACACATGGGCCCGGCCCCTGCCCTTCCTCCAACACACATGGGGGTGTGCCCAAGTCCCGAGGGCAGAAATGGAGGAGCAGGGTCACCCCCAGTGCACATGTACCCTCTGGAAAGTTAAAAGAAAAAGAAAAACAAGAAGCTTGGAGCTAGCTGCGTCACCCCCTACCTTAAACCTTCAGTGGCTCAAAGCCCAATCCCAGACCTCCGCTTCCCAGGCCGTCCATGGTCTGGCCTCTCTCCCCTGGCCCCCATCCCCGATCCTACCTCGTTATCCTAGATGCCAAGCCTGCCCAGCACCCCAGACATGGCCTCCTTCACCCTCTTGGCTGGGCATGGTGCCTCTTCTCCTCGCTCTCATCCTTCCTGGAAGACCACCTGCAGCTTCTGCCCACCCCTCCAGCTCTGTGTGGCTAGGGCCCCCTCAAAGCAGACCCTGCCCAAGGACTAGGGAGCAGTCCTTTATTGGGGATGATGGTGAGAAAAGCTCATAGGGGGCCACTAAGGAGCCAAGCCCGGGGGAGGGTGGGGGGCGCCCTGGGAGCCGGACCAGCGGGCCCAGCCTCTGCCGTGCGGTCGGTCCTGTGCCCAACTGTAGTTTCGGCAGCCACATAGTGACCGAAGTTCAGGGCCCCAGCAGTTCGGGCCTGAAACACACCAGACATGTGTGTGAACACTCCAACCCTGACAAGCTAGAGGTCTAGGGGAAGGGGTCACACACGAGACCCTGGAGGGACATCGGGCGCCCTCCCTCCTGCACAGGCGATGACACACTTCAGATAAGAAATGTGGGCGAGAGAACTGGGCCAGGGAAGGCAGGGGCTGGGCGAGGCCTGCTGTTGGGGAAAGCCCGGGGCAGAGGGAAGTGGGAGGCAGGCAGCCTGCTGGGCACCGTGAGGGGCGTGGGATGGGCACCAGCAGCGCCAGTGCCGGCCAACGCTGGGCACGCCCCTCTGGCCTCCCCAGCCACGTCTGTGCTTCCACACCCCAGCACCCAGCTGGCACCGCACAGGAGGCGCTCGGGGCCTTTCCAGCACTAACTGCACCTCCACACCCGGCTTTCTCTGAAGGCCCTGTGAGTGGGAAGCCACTCTCCCCTCTCCTTCCCCTTCCTCCCATCCTAGATGGCAGCTGCAGGAGCTGGGTCCCCCCACCTCCA